ACATTAAATTTTTTTAAAATAGCCTGTTTTCTGATCAACAATTTCAAGGATTCTTTTATCACTTATTTAGAATAGTCCATCATTACTTGCAATTATTCAAAGAAATTGTTTTTACTTTCCCTTGGGATTTACAATCATCTTGACAGATAAATTAAATAAAAAAAAAATTCCAAAGCTGGATTTTGCATAGGAAATACAAAGTGTATTACAGGTTACTCAGATATAGGAATGCCAAAAGAAAATCAGTGTAAGCACTGAAGTTAGATTCTTCAAGTGCTGGATACCAGTACATTAATTTTTATGGATTATTTCACTAACTTTACAGATATCAATTTTCCACTTAAAAATGGTTATAAAAACAAGTCTGTAAGAATCAAACACCTTGGGAAATGAAAAATTTCAACCCCTCTTCAAACCTTGCACGCAGTTAGGCACTCAGGGGGAATGTACAAAAATGCTCTTTTTAAAGATTGCAGCACTCTTGTTGCCACGGTAACAACGGCTGCTTGTTTGAGGCCTGGGGCCTCATTTCCATGAAAAAACATTTAAAAAAAGAGTAAAGTGTTTATTTTTGTATCTCAAGCTATAAATACAACGTACATTATAGATTGGTACTTCTACCTATATAGCGACATCATTTATCTTGACTTTGATACATTCAGTTTTCCCGGAGAGTGAATGTGAACACACCAATAGATTATTTATCTCGGTACAGTTTCGGTCATTTTTTTTGTCTCAGACAAACGAAGCGTGCAAGGCTTGGAAAGAATATTATGTTATGAGCAATATCCCGATGAGATAATTATCTCACCTCTGAAAAAAATTGATCAGCCTTTGTGGAGGGCTGCTTGACGTAAGTACAAACATATCGTTTTCAAATCGGGTGCATACCATCCAGATTCCGAGTGCTGCAACTTCTTTCACGGGAATTTGAGAAATCTGAAATCCTCTGAAGATACACTGGCTGATCTACATGGAACTATCCCATCACCAGTCATTTGTCGTAACCGTGTACGTTATCACGTGACGCTGTATTTCTCCATGAAGTTTCCCTCGGTCGCTCAAAAGAAGACGAGAAATGGACATTTTTGCGATATTTCATCAGATCTCCGCGCATTCTGAAATAAAATAAAACCAAAAAACATAAAGAGAAGAGGAAGACTTTGGTTGAATACGAAAGAGCTGAATAATAAAATTGCTCACGTCAGAGGGCATGCGGTTAACAACGCGGGCTCAAGTGTCCAAGGTCTAAAATTTAGCGAACCGGAAATTAATAAAGGCTGACTTTTAAAACCGAGGAACTCTGTTTTCGTCGAAGGCACTTTCCTATTTCCAGAGGTTTAAGGATAAAATTAATTTTCGAAAATTTTTAGGGGGTTTACCAAGCTTTTGGAGGTTGTTCCGTAAAAGAAAAGCGGCAAGGAAAATGACGCCTCAAAGCGGAGGATTCTCTTGTCTTATAGTAGCTGTATTAAATCATCCCCCTGGAGCAGATATCAACATCCGTGAGCATTTGTTTAACTCTCTGGCCCGGGCTGAATCTATTTACCCGAACTGTGCGCTTATTTTAGCCAGCGATTTTAACCGCCTCGATGTCACGCGGCTTATAAGGGTAAAAGTAGAACCCTTGCACAA